TTTTCTCTATGTTCACCTGAAGGAAGTCTTATCTTCTCTGGATGCCTCTTCTGCCAACTTGTTGCTTTTCGCTTGCATATCTTCCAGTTTGTGGGAAATCAGACATATATCATCGGCGAAGTCTACATCCTCCAAGTTTTTGTGTGAGTCCATTTTATTCCTGTTTCCTCATTGGCCGCTGTGTGTCTGTCGCATTATTCAGTCTACTGCAATCAGGAAAATCATTGGCCATAGAATCATTAAGTTCAGAAGATTGCAGTTTGAAAGTATCGGTAAGCGAATATAAGCACGAAAATGTAATATTAATTAGAAAATCAGATAAATTAAGAAAAATAATAATGCAGAATTTATGACTTTGTACGTGAACCAGATGGCATTCGTCTCAAAGCACTGAAGACGGCCCAGAGATTACGGTAGATGTTCTCACTCAATTACTGCAAAAGTTTGGAAAGAAGGAAAGGTGCCTGCTGATTGCAAGAAGGACTAACTCGTCAAAATGCCAAAGAAGGTCGACTAAGGCTTCACTGTGCAAGAACTGGCGAGAAATAATGCTCTTCTCCACTCCAAGTGAAATACTAAGTCGCATCATCCTGAAGAGAATAAACAATGCACTAGATACAGAACTCCACTGCACCGCCTAACAGAAAAAGCTGGATTCACGAAAGACAAATCACGTGCTGATAAAATTGCAGCTCTATGCATTATCTTCACAGAATAAGGCAGAGAATGACAGTCAAATCTCTACCTCAAGTTCATCGACTTCAAAAAGGCCTTCGACAATGTAGCGTAGACTAAGAAGTTATTTGGAAACTACTTCAACACCACGGCGTAACTCAAGTCTTTGTCAACCTCATTCAACAGCTGTATGATAATACCACATGTCAAGTGATCCACAACGGAAAACTCAGTGAGGTGTTCGAAGTGCATGCAGGAGTAAGACAAGCTGGCTGGCTGCTTATTATCACCCACGATGATATTCTTAATTGTGGTGGACTGGGTTATGCGTCAGACTGCTGGGGACGAGGAGTCAGAAATACGCTGAACGGCCGATAAGAAGACTCTGGAAGATCTGGATTTCGCACATGATATACGTCTAATTTGACACAAACTCGAAGACTTGCAAGCGAAAACCGACAAACTGGGTGAAGAGGCTGGCAGAGAAAACAGGACTGTAGGTGAACACAGAGAAGACTCAGGTGATGAAGATAACCAAGGAATAGCAACAGTAACAACAACCAGCAACAATCGCCATCAACGGGAGAGATTAAACAGAGGTTTCCACCTTCACTTATCTGGCCATGAAGCATCTTTTCAACTACAGGCGGAACGGACGAAGATGTCAGAGTCAGTCAGAATCGGAAAGGCGAGATCCGCAGGCCTTCGTAAACCTGAAACTAGTTTGGAAATCTTCGCACTCTGCATGAAGAACAAGATTAGCAGATTCAACACCAATTTGAAGTCGGTCAGTGCTTCTATACGAGTCAGAAACTTGCACTGTGCCACGAAAAGGATTTCCAACAGCCTGTTGCAGACTTTCATCAACAGCTGCCCACTTCTCTGGCTCCATACTGAAGATCATATGGCCAGAAAGAAAGAATTAGCAACAAGAAACTGAGTGAGCAAACCAACCAAGGGCCGATCGCTCAAGAAATATGTAGGAGATAGTGGAGATGGATGGATCGGGCATACACTGAGGAGACCGCCGAATGACATTTCACGCCAGGTGAGTGCTCGAGTGGAATCCAAATGGGAAGCGACGAGTAGGTCGTCTGTGCGGGAGTGACATGGAGGAAATCTTGTGTGGAAGAGATGAGAGAGCTTGGTCAATCGTGGACCCAAATGAAAAGCACGGCAGGAACCAGAACAAAGTGCAGAGGTCTTGTTGAAACCCTATGTTCCACTCTGAAAGCAAGGGAATAATGATAATAATAAAAGGTTCCACAGTAGGTCAGGGTGGCATTACTGACTGAACCTGCTTCTTTTGCCTGTAGAACTTGGGTTGTTTTGGGCGAATTGCAATAGCCCTTACTGTTTCGAGTATTCAGTACTTAGAAGCTTTTGAAAATATATTCGATACCCGATAGGTTGTAAAAAAAGGATTCTTCAATAATAACATTCTATCCTGTTTGAACTTGATGGTCTAATACCCAACTGTTGATGATAGGTTTTACTACATCTTTATTTTGCCACACTGATCGATGATTCCTAGCACGATCATTACAAATGACACTGAAAGAAAGTAGTTATTAGTTAGGTGTTTCGTGGCAGTCAACATCAAGGTGTATCTGCAGTCACCTTAGGATCCAAACTCGAACTAGCCAATGCTGCATTCAGAGACGTCATCACTGAGCTATTTAGGCTCGAGTTTTTGACCTCCTGTAGGACTGTAATAGATAATTCGATTGGACACTAAATAGTAGCTGATGTCATTCGTCCAGTTCTTGACGATGGTGCAGACTGAATTCTATCAGTCAAGTGTTCGATCAAGGCAGTTAGTTGTCTATAAGTTTAGAAGAATATAAGTACTCTTTTACCAGAGATTATCCACGGTTTTTGAGCTGCTTGATGGTAATATTTTCACCAAATCGAATTAAATTTGGATTGCTTCACTTGATGATAATATTAAATGCATTTGGAATGTTCAATGAATTTTCCGACCCGATAAAATGCACATTCAGTGACGCTATTCAGGGACTAAGATCCTTTGACCATTAGTCTTTTTGGACTTATCCAGAGAAATAAACGGATGCCAATCTTTCTATCCATCGAGTGCATCTGCCATTTTCATTTGATATTATATGGTTGGAGGCCGATTACCTCTAACCATCTAAAATCATCACAAACATTGTACACCGTGATGGCGAGCTACCTAGAATGGTGGCCACATTACAACCTGACTGATAGAATTCAGTCCGCACCAAAGAGAGGACTAGACGCACCACACTAGTTACTAGTGTCAAATCAAAATTTTCATTTGAATTCGTAAACATAAATCAGCGGTGAATTCTAACTGGTACCTGTCCACTTCTGATGGATTAAGCGCACGACTAGCGCTCTTGTTTATTCAGTGTAGTGCATCAAATACCGGTTGTATCTGTACTTATAGGTCTTTAAATTTCTTTGAACACCCGTTATCAGTGGATTGTTTTCCAGGAATGTCCATGTAATCCATTTTCAGAAGAAAGCTTTGTAGTGTCACAAACAGCAGCTTGACCAATCCAAATTTGTATTGTTATACAAATTGGAGCTAGTTTAATCTAAGTATTGTTATCCTGGCAATGTTTTACCACCTCCATTTTGCCATCGTCTCGTCTTCTGACAGATAAATCCAGGAAGTAGAAACGATCTTCCTGTCCATATTACATTGCGAAGTATTTATGAGCGTGATCTATGCCCGTGTTTGTCTACTCTGTAAGATCACTAATTTCTCCGATCGTGAATTTCATTTTGTTTATTTCTTAACTTTCCATGAATATCATTCAGCAAGAATGACACTTGATTATAGACTACTTGACTTGAAATTCATATCCTTGAACACGGAATTTCAACGGCATTCCTAAATATTTCACTCTTGCGCCCATGCCAATCTCGTCGTTTCCCATTAGGCACACAACGGTAGACTTATCGTGTGTGTACGATACGTCTCTAAAGTGCAAATGTTTGTAGTACTATAGTTTCCTGATTGGTGCATCGTCTGCTATCTGATCTGCAGTATGGAGTAGGCAAAGGCAGCCGTTGACGAAAGTCTAAAGCTTGTTGAAAAATGCTTTTCGTGACACGCCATGACTCCGCACTATGTAGAAGGACTGCCTGACTGACTGGATTAAACATAAAACTTGGCACCGAAGTGCACCAGTTCGAGTTGCCACGTTCCAAATAGCACACAAAGGTAGACAAGAAGATGAGTGAAGAGAATCAATAGAGTTTTGACAAGTATAAGAGTGAAACAGAATGAGTAATGGTAGAAAGGAATATGAAAGATTACAGAGACTGAATACATCTGCGCCATTGACAACGATTTTGAGCCGTGTCACCTAATGCCTCCAGCCTTTATTGATTCTTAGAGTTCCGAGGGCCCCAACCCGGAAGTTTGCATCTCCCTACCTGACTCAGTTTAACTGTCAAGGATTTCATGGATTGATGCCATGTTTTGTTTAGCTACCACTCTTACTCTTTTCCTATATCAGCTAGTAATGCCCGTCGGGAGGGGGGAGCGATGGTTAGGCACGCGCAGCACGTGACCTAGCCATCACGATCTATGTAACTTTATAGCTTCTTCGATTGATTTTCCCTCTTTGCTCAACACTCTATGCCTAACGTCAACATTACTTACCTTATTGTACCACCTAAAGTGAGAAAGAGATCGTAAACATCTGTGGTCAAAAACAGACAACCTTTTCATATCTTCAACTCGTATTGGCCATGTTTCAGAGCCATAGAGAAGGACGGAACTAACTACTGAGCAGTACACACGTCCCTTGGTTGATAGTTGGATGTCACGCCTACGCCAGAGACGGTGTAAGTTAGTGAAAGCAGCTCGAGCTTTTTGGATCCGTGCTGAGATTTTGCCACCAATCAATCCGTTGTTGCTGATACAGCTTCCCAAATAGGTGAAGTGGTCAACATGTTCTATCACTTCACTCCATATCACTTAGCTAGGAGTTGACGTAGTCCAGTCAGTCCTGTAGCAGCATCTTACATTTTACAGGGGTGAATCGCATGCCAAACATACGAAGACTGCTGCTCCTCAAGGTGTTTAGAAGACTCTGCATTTTGTCAGCATCCTCCCCTGACAGGACTATGTCATCTGCGTATTCTAAGTCCATAAGACAATGTAGAAGGACTGACTGACTTGACAGCAGCGTTGGAAATCCCAGCCTTTTCCTTCATGTTGAGTGCAGTAGATTTTTAAGCCGATTTTACATAAGTGGTTTGTCTTATTTTATCTCACCCTGGCTTTGTTTAATATGCATTTATTTATTTATTCGTTTTGATTACAGCGCCAACTGAAACCGTCTACTGAAGTCTCCTCCTTTGAACCAGAAATAAGCAAAACATCATTACAACAAAGTAGTAAGTTGAAACGACCGACCAGTAAAGATTCCGGATTGATTACCAGCAGGTCAACTAGCCAGCCACTTCAATCTAGTCAGAAACCACCGACATACCATTTTTCAAATGAGAAATCAGATAACAATGGATTTCAAGATATGAATAAAAGACAGACTAAGAAGCATGACTACCTACCGTTGAAAACCACCTCAACCCTACTGACATCATCAATGTCATCAACAAATTTAGCGGAGAATCTATGCATTAAACCGAATAATATTTGTTCCAGATCAATTCATTGTCAAAACACCTTGGATACATCACGTCGTCGACTGAATTCTGTGCATATATTAACTTCTGAATTGGATCATAAATCTGAACGAAATCCACCTGTTACACTGACCGCGACTGGTAGTAGTGCTGCTAAGCCATCGACTGTTTCTAAAGTCAATCTACGTACATTAAGATCACAGTCTGCGGATAGAGTATTGAAACCGAGAACCACTTGTATAAATACACCATATCAAACGAGTTATCAACTGTTCCAGCCATATTTAACTAGCACGCCAACACGTCGCACAAAATCAAAGCGTATCACAGATATTCTACAATATTCTATAAATGATTCTGATAAAACCTATAAACTCACACCTTTTAGATAGAGTCGCCTTTGTGCTGTTTCTTTTTTTACTTAAGAATGTGTCTTTCATCTGTCTAACTCAATTGTAACGCATACATATCAAGAATTGTTCCAAGAGTCTTCCATTTGTCACATATATATATAATATAATGCATATATTTACCTTCCCTGAATTTGATTTATTGATTTTCTTTTTATCTGAAGTATGTATGCCTATCTATCTATCTACCTATTTATGATTTCATATCTCCTAATAATATATATACACATATAATATTATTAATATAATCGAGAATCAAGAATTCTACTTGTTTTGTTTTAATTGACTAATAATACACTGATACATTTCAATGTTCAATGTGAAATTATTCAAATTTAAATGATCTACACACATAGATTAGGTGATGCGTCAAGTGGATAAATAGTTGAAGCATTCATTATTCAGAAATGATATAAGCCTAAAAATTACCTTATTTTTACGGCTGTAAAACAACTACAATAACAAGGATTTTCCCATCGATTGATTGGACCGAAGTGCTCGGTCTCAGGTTGACATGTTGACTTCTTGTGCAGATGCTTCGACGATGTCTGTGAATGTAATTAGCTAATTGTAATGAATTGGTGGATGGTGACTAGCAGTGGAATCCAGACAGGATGTGCATTTCGTCCTATTCGAGACTTCTCTGCCAGCTGGATGTACCTGTATTCCACAGTGAGTGATGATGTTCCCACCGAGGCTGGCGCATGAGTCCCAAATAGGACGAAATGCGCGTTATCCTGGATTCCACTGCTAGTCACCATCCACCAATTAACTTCTATTTATCTGAAATGGTTAGTGTTTATGTATATATTGAATAAGAGTAAAGTTTCCCATAAATAAATAAAAGTTTTCAATTAGCTGTGTTCTCTGAGCTGAGCTGGTCGATTCAATTGAGAAGCTTTCGTCGTCCACCCCTTCTAGACAACACCCTTAACTTCCACGAAGGCTCTAGTATAAAATGAACTCATTTAAATTCTCAATGAATGATGGGATTGTATCTCCTGACCAACCTCCTTTGTCGTGACTGGCTGTTAATTTACATCTCTATTGATAATGTTTTTGTCCACTTGGAATTTGAACTCTCTTGTCATGTGATTTACTTTTTATCAACTGGTAACTTTGGTCTATGGTAATTATTATTATTATTATTGTCTTCTTTAGTTCCTAGCGGAACATACGGCTTCAGCCGCATGTCTCCATTTCGTTCAGTTCTCCGCCAACGTTCTCACCTGGCTGCACATCTGCTTTCATCTTTCTTCACCTCGCACTGACGACCGACTCGCCGCTTCCCATTCTGGTTACGCTCGAGCAATGGCCTGGAGTGTGCTGTCACTAGATGGTGGTTTGTTTTCTCAGAGTGCTGCAAATCCACCTCCATTTCTTCATGCATATTTGTTGAACAATTGGTTCGTGCTGGGTTGGTCCGTTCATTGCCATAGATCTCGGTTGCTGATCATTTCTGGCTGGCCATCTGATCTTGAGTAGTATAAAGCAAAGACAGCTGTTGATGAGAGTCTGTAGTTTGTTCCAAGTGGCCTTCGTCACGCGCTGGCCAAGTCTCTGATCGGTGTATAGTGGCACTGACTTTACATTAGACTTGAAAATCTGGATCTTATTTTCATTCTGAGTGCTGTTGATCTCCACACAGACTTGAGAGTAATGAAAGCTTGTCTTGCTTTCCTGATCTTCGCTTTGATATCCTCATCAGTTCCGTCCGCCTGTAGTTGAAACGATGCTTCCTAGGTAGGTGTGCGAGTGAGGTTGCTTCTTTCAGATTGCTCCAATTTATGCTGATTGTTTGGTTACAGGATTTCATCACGAGCTGACATTGGTTAGAGAACCATTTGAAAACCTGGGAGTACTGGAAAGCTGTTTCATCCTAGTTTGGGACTCTTCAGTAGTACGCACCCACCAGGGTTCGAACCCAGGACCTTCCGGTTGCAAGGCGAGCTCGCATACCATTAAGCCACTGTGACTTGACTCAGTTGTGTTTGTTAATTGCCAATTCACTTGAATACCAGACTTCTAGGAATTTTCCTACTGCATTTTCGTGCCTCCTGTACATATAAAAGTGTCTCTGAAATAACAGCTAGAATATTAAGACCGTTTGAAGTAGATATAGCATACAAGCCAACCCAGTCGCTTCATTCCACATTGTACAAACCAAAAGATTCAACAGATCCGAAAGATCCACTTACAAAATAAACCATATGAGTTACAATAATCATTATTTCGGTCAAAGTGGGCGTCCCCTTCGAATCCTGAACCAACAACACAAATTTACTCTAAAAAAAATGGTATAAATTCTTTCATATCAGTGCATGTAGATAATCATAGACACCAGTTTAATTGGGATAATGTAGAAATTTTAAGCAGATGAAGCACCAAAAATGCAGACATGGAATTCCTAGAAGCCTGGTACTCAAATAAATCAGCCATCGATTAATAAACACATTACCACGGACAAAATTTACCAGTTGATAAAAAGTAAATCACATGACAAGAGAGTTCAAATTCCAAGATTATCGACAAAAACATGATCAAAACACGACAAAGGAGGTTGGTCAGGAGACACAATCGCATCATTCATGTAGAATTTAAATGAGTTCATTTTATACTAGAGCCTTCGTGGAAGGAGGGGTGTTGTCCAGAAGGGGTGGACGACAGAAGCTTCTCAATTAAATCGACCAGCTCAGCTCAGAGAACACAGCTAATTCAATATCATCAAAGTGAGCCACAAATCTTCTCTATTATTTCATTAGAAAGTTTGTTTTTCAGGTGCTGATAAATCAATGATGATTGCGTAATAAATGATAACAAAACACAGTGATATTATGAATCAAAAGATTGGAAAATCAAACGTTGTTGTGTACGAAGTCGAATGAAAGGATGATGACGCAATTGATTTCTGATCTAATTTGGTAGATGGTGATTAACAGTGGAGTCGAGTATGCTCACTTGGTCCTATTTAGGACTCGTCAGCCGATGTTTCACTAGAAGTGCTGGCTCTCGTTGCCCAATTGGTTTAGTGGATAACGCTTTGGCATTTGAAATGATGGACCCAGGGTTCGAGTCCCAATGGGAACATTATCACACTGGGATATGTAGGTATATCCTGATGATGGCTCCTAAATAGGACGCAATGAGCATCCTGAACTGATTCCAATGCAAACAACCATTCACCAAATGCTTTAAGTTAGATCCGCAGACATCGTCGAATCATTTGCACGAGGAGCCAAAATGTCAACAGAGGTCCAGCACTTTGATCCAATCAATTGACGGAAAAGTCTTTGGAGTCCTAATCGCTGTACGCAGTTACCACTGACTTATCGTCACCTTAACAACAAAGTCGTTTCACTGTTCTCTCTTTTAATGTATGTATATACGAATTGAATTTATTGTCCTTATGTTTTGTTCTGGTGCGTCGGTGCTCGCCAACCACGTAGGTGGTTTGGGATTCGATCCCCCGGCTGATGCACTCCTTTACTTCGCTAAGCATGGTAAAGAGGGAAGATTGGGCATGAGGCTAGCAACCGCATCCTGTAAAACTAAATACCACTTTACGAAACTTAAGCCTCTGGCTTGAAGCCCTATGTTCCAGTGGGAACGTGAGGGAGTACACACTACTTGTCTTGTCCTTGAGAAACTCGACTTATGTTTCTGCCCAACGGCATTATTGAGGTAATCCTGAGTATCTGATATGTTAATATTGTTAAATAGTACCACAGATTATGTCACAAATAACTGTCCTTTTTGCTGTCTTTGCGGCAGCACGGGACCATGAGTAACTCAGGGAAGTTTGACTTAGCTATATAGAAGAACGTGACTATTGGTTACCAGTCTTCAGATGGCAACATTTTAGTTTTGTTCGCTACAAATAGCTCTATGGCTTTTACGAGCGCTGTCACAAGTACACTGGGAGATATTCAGTCACCTATGGAGATCAGTGAACTTTGGACAGACAGAAGGAATTTGTCGACAACAAAAAGATCGTTATGGTTTGAAGTCTAAGAAGCACTTCAAACTGTATTCACTGTGAACGAACTACAAAGGTTAATTCAATCACAGTATCAAAAGTACTGAAATCTACCAATCTATTCATAAATTAATGTTCTTTTTGAGGTTCCAAAAAACAGTACTTATGAAACAGCGTGGAATTCTCAGCCTTTGGTACAATGTTGCATCTAATTTACTAAACCAAAATTGTTAATAGCAACGTTTTGACATTAACTATAACAAAAAGTCGAAAATGTACAAAAAATACGAAATGATAATAATAATATTGTTTACAGGATTTTATCTTGAGCTGACATCGGTTAGAGAACCGTTGGAAAATCAGCTGGGAGTACTGGACAACAGCTGTTTCGTCAGCCTAGTTTAGGACTCTTCAGCAGTACGCACCCACCACCAGGGTTCGAACCCGGGACATTCCGGTTACAAGGCGATCTATAGACCATTAGGCAACCCACTGGGACGCGATCCAGTGACCAGCCCATGAATTCTGGCTTCTACCAAATCACGACAAAGCGCGACTAGTACTAGCCAATGTCATCTCTAGCGAGTATTTGTCCCCAAACCCGACCTGCTGCACCCTACTGGTCACGACTTCCCACTAGAACTCCAGGTAACTACCTACCTGAATAGGGCTTAGTCATGATGAAATCCTGTAACCAGTCAATCAGATCCCTACAAACCAGTACTTGAATAGTAATATTATTAACTAAAATTACCAGATAACTTAGATAGAGTCACCATGAATTACAAATAGGAGAAGATGAAAGAGCCATTTATTTTGTTAATTACATCGTAAGTTATACGTCTCACGGTTGACACATTCTCTGACCCATACAACGTGTGGGTCAAATAAGATATCGCTGAGTTTTTGTACATAGTTATACCAGCGTATTATTATTGTTACCTTGAGTTCCTAGTGGAACATAGGGCTTCAACTGCACGTCTTCACTTGCTTCTGTCTTCTGCTG